TGTGTGTGTGTGAGAGAGAGAGAGAGAGAGAGAGAGAGAGAGAGAGAGAGAGAGAGAGAGATTAATTCACACAATGGTAGACACTGCCAATAACCAGCTGTGGGTGCCTGCTGTGTGGGCTGGGTGGGTGCATTTTCATAAGGGTTAAGGGATCTTAAAACTTGGCAATCTTAAAATGCCTTATCCTGTTTCCTCCCCAGTATAGAAATTTAGCTGCAATTTTCCTGGTCAGAGGCCATCCAATTCCTGTTTGAATCACTCCAGCGACAAGGAGCTCACCACTAACAGGGCAACATCACCCACTGCAAACGGGCAGCCCTCAGTGTGACAGAATTTTGAAGCTGAGCTGAAATGTACATCCCATTACCTTCCCATCCATCTTAATTCTGGGAGTTAATACAAGCATTATAAGCATTGTCTCTAGGATAACACTACAAATGCTTGAAGAGAGCCACCATGTCCCCCACCACCAGATGGCTTTTCTTGATCCAATATCTTCATTTTCTCATATGAAACAGTTTCCAGACCTATCCCCATCCTGCTGGTCCCTCCTCTGGGTGACCTAGTTAAGAGATGGCCCCAGAACTGAACCCTGCACTCATTTCTTGGTCCAAAATGCAAAGACTTTAGGGAAATAACTCTTCTTTTACGTATGGGTTTATATTCACATTTTTTAGCTGCCATATCATCCCTGTGGCTTATACTGAGCTGTTAGTCAACCAACCCAACCCCCTTCAGGGATATTTGAAATATAATGAATACTTTTCAGTCACTTGCCATTGCTTTTGCTCTGTGGCTGATCGCCCTCCCTGCCCTCTACCCCCCTTAACCTTGATATAGGACCTTCTATTCATCCCTAATATGTTTTAGGGCCTACTATTTCAACCTACTGAGGTTTTTCTCCACCTCATTCCATAATGTTCTATTCCCACAACACTTCATGGTTTTCTGTCTAAAATGAATTTGATCAGTACTCATTTTAATCTCCATGTAAATTTCTGATACATGATGGAGAGGCAGGAGAGGAGCCCTGGGAGACATCATAGAGCCCATCCACTGTGTTCACACTGGCCGCTCAGCAGCTGTCCTGGGTACCATTAGTCAGCACACCGTGTCTCCACCACTGGCATGCCAGCCAACCTCTATCTCATCCTCTCGTCCACAACATTAATAAGAGACATTTCTTTAAGCCAAGAGAAGTGACTCCGTGACTTCAGCTCCTGACAGGCTATTACATGAGGTATTTCAGAGAAGCTTCCCAGCAGCTCACAGAAATCCCCTTAGGTGGTCTGGGCGGCTCCCTGCCCATCGGGCCAGCTCTGCCAGGAAGCACAGGCTTTAGTCACGAAATCCTGGTGGAAGAATTCTCTGGCAACTCTCAAAGGCTCTCCTCAGACATCCTGAGATCCAGGCCCTTTCATGACCTACTTTCATCAGACACCACAGGGAAGTGGTACAGGGCACTGCCCATCAGTTGAAAACTTCCTCAGTGTCTGTGGCTGGACATGAAAGCACCCAGTCTGGCTCGTGGGAACCAATCAGCTGTTTCGCAGGAATCAGTCTGGCTCGATTTGTAGATGGTAAGAGGGAGGCCTTCTAGGAAAGTGCAGAGTTTGAAAGGTGGTGGAAGTCATCTGGTCCTTCAGTTCGATGTCCCCCAGTTAGTCCTCTCTGAGCTACTGTAAATTCATTCAGGATCTAGGCCCCTTCCCATTTCCCCAAAGGCATGCATCTTGCCTTCTCTGATTATAAGGCTGGAGGACAAAGGCCAAGTTTTCCTTCCCTAGTGGTGTCCCAGACTGTGATGTGCATACAGCAGACACCCAGCAAATGCCCAGCATAAGGGTAGGTACCAAGCTTTCCTACCATGGACTCTCGACCCTTCGAGAATGAGAAAGTACTGTCCAACATATTTTTTCAGTCACGTATCTACCTATTCTACCAATTAATTCTACCTAATTTTCATATGACCTCATTTCCCCTTCAAATGCTCAGCATTAGAAGTGCCCATAGAGGTAGCTAATAAAACTTCTCTGTTGAAGTGATACTCACAGAATCTTTTTCCAGAATCATTTTTGTACATTTTGGCCTTTTGCTTCAAACCATCAGTGACTTTCTTATGCCCAGAACCTGGATCTTCATTTGACAATCAAAGTGGATTATCCTGAGGTTCTAGGCTGAATAGAGGCCCATTAAAGATGTTATAAATAAGCTCACTTTCCTAGTAGGCAGGGCAATGCTATAAAGCAGTTGTTCTCAACCTTCCTAATGCCACGACCCTTTAATACAGTTCCTCATGTTGTGGTGATCCCCAACCATAAAATTATTTTCATTGCTACTTCATAACTGTAATTGTGCTACTGTTATGAATCGTAATGTAAATATCTGATATGCTATATGTGTTCTCTGGATGGTCGCGACCCACCGGTTGAGAATGAGCTGCTTCTATGTACTTCTCATCGCTGTTTAGTTTGATGTTTCATCCTGGGAGACTCTTCACCTACGGGGATAATGGTCTTTGATTTGCATTCCTGGGAAGAAGAACATTTGGGAATCGGAGATATTGCTTCCATTAGGTACCTAGCATTATTTCTATTGGATAAAATGGTGACTTAGATAGAGCCCCATGCCCTCCAGGAGCTTCTAATCTCATTGGAAAGATGGGATACACCACTTTCTCATTGGGAAATGGTGCTAATTATTCTGTGTGAGATTATGAAGAATGGAGATGAAAAGTGTGAAACGGGGTTGGAAAAGCCCAAATCATAGACTTCATGGTAAAGCAGAGTTGTCATCAGTACCTAGGGCACTAAATAAAGTCCAGCAACTATAAGAATCTCTTCTAGTTATTCCTAAAAAAATTGCATTTGAAGAATGTTGGCGAGAGGTGGTCTCATCCTGCCAGCTGAGAGAGGGCTAGGGATCCTTTCCCATGCTACAGTTCAGGCTTGGACAAGTTCCCAGCATGCTCTAGGAATATATGAGAAAAGAGCAGGACTGTGTGAGTCATGAGAGGAAAAATGAAGACCACAGTCTGGGTAGAACTTCCTCTGAAGCCCAAATAGGGCAATTTCAAGAGTCACCTTTCTTTAGCATTAGTCTCGGGGTTAGAGCACAGTGCAGGCTCCTTGGCCTGGACTCATGCAGCTCCCACTGCCCCTTGGGGATGACATCCAGCATGTTCCTTGAGAAAGAGGTCTTGGCTGCCTCTGCCTCTGGCCCTATGCCCCACATTTCCTGCACAGAGGAGCAGTGCCATAAATATCTGCTAATTTCATTGTTTAAGTGGAGAGCTTGTTGAAAAGATAAATCTGAAATGAAGCCATAAATGTAGAAGAAGGGTCATGAGCCTCTTGCCTTTCCCAGATGCTGGCTCAGGCCAGGCTGGCAACCTCAGAGTCATCTGCGAGGGCTGGAAACAGTAACCGGGCCCTACAGTGGGAGCTCTGATGCAGCGGGCCTGAAGGGAGACCCAGGGTCTGCATTTTAATAACAGTGAATTGTACCTTTATACACAACTGGAATAAACAGTTTAGAAAATGCTTTCTCTATTTTTTTTATCAATGTCAAGAAACTTTAATATACATACTATTCAAACCCATGATTCCATAAATCCACTTCTTGTCAAAAATTCTATTGAAATGATAAAAAATGAAATCATAGATTATGAACAATGATATGTATAGTAATTCTATGTATACTGATCTATACATGTCCAATATGCAAGAAAGGATAGCTACACTATAGCAGGTTCATAAGATAAAATATTTGGCAACTAATAAAAATAATGGTTTGGAGAATCTTTGATAACATGATAAAATTTTCATGATACATAACAGAATTAAAATTTTAGATAGAAAACTTGGAGTCATAAGATTTCAACATGATAAATATCACCTAATATCTGCATTTTTAAAGTGATTCTGCTCCCCAGCTACATTCGGGAACAACTTCCCTGCGGTCGCCACCCTCCACGATGGCCCCAGCGATCTCCACCTCCTGCGTTCACTCCCTCGGGTAACCTCCTCCCACACTGTACACAACTGTTTTGTGTGACTAACAGAATACAGCAGAAATGAAGGGGTAGCACTTCCGAGATTAGCTTAGGAAATGCTGTGGCTTCTAAGTTTTGATCCCTCTCTTTCTCTTTTAAGTCACTCACTCTGGAGAAAGACATGTCTTACGGAAACTTAAGCAGCCTGCAGAGAGGGCCAGAGGGCCCCCGCTGACAGCCAGAAAGAAACTAGAGCCTGCCAACAACCACATGAGTCAACTCGGCAGAGGATCTCCCAGCCCCAGCAGCCCGGCTGCAACCTCATCAGAGACTGCGCAGAATCAACCGGCTAAGCCACTCCTGGATTCCCGACCCTACGATCTATGTGAGATAATAAAAGTCTGTTGTGTGAAGCTGGCAAATCTGGGTGGTAATTTGTTACGTAGCAACTGATAGCTAATACATGTCCCTAGTCCAAAGGGCAAGCTCCTGAACATAGCACAGAAGGCCTTTCATGCCCACCTTTCCAGTTGCACTTCTCATGACCCCCAGATTCAGTTTTCTTGAGCAGTACTAGCCTGCTTATCCCCAGTTCACACCTCCATGCCTCTGTGCCTTTGCCCAAGCCATTCCCCACTGATGCCCTTTCCCCACTGATGGCATCCCCTTCTCCAGAAATCCTCCCTCAACGGCCCCCACACCAAATCATGTTGGCTTGGTCCCCCTCCTTAGTGCTCACACACTTCTTGAAATCAGTAAGCGAAAAGTGAGCTACATGTAGAAAAGGAAACATCTGCCCGACCAGTGTGGCTCAGTGGTTGAGTGTCGACCCAGGGCACATAACTGGGTTGCAGGCTCGATCCCCAGTGTGGGGTGTGCAGGAGGCAGCTGGTCAATGATTCTCTCTCATCATTGATGTTTCTATCTCTCTCCCTCTCTCCCTCCCTCTGAAAACATATTAAAAAGAAAACATCCACATGAAGGAGTCCTCAAGAACACGACTTGCCTCTACGTGGTTGATCAACGAATTGTCGAATTTGAACCCAGGAATCCTTTTCTCACTGCACACCACACCCACGTCTTCTGTGTGCTTGCAGTCGGTGACACCCCAGCCATTGGAGGAGCAGGCTGCGAGGGTTGCCTCTTTGCCGGTGCAGTAGACATTGTCCAACCAGACGGGCCCTGAAGGAAGCAGAGAAGGGAAAAACCAAGCGTGATGTCAGAGTAGGTTTGAACTTGGGGGGGGGGGCACCAAAGTTGTACACAGAAAGAGAATTTTTCTCTAATCTTGGCAGCTGTGTGTGGTCATCAATTGATGTTTAGCATGTTAAGATATTGCACATAGTTCTAGACCATCTGGATTCCCTTGCCAAAGGGATGTGGTAGATTGAACATGATCAGGGTAGAAATCAGCGTTGAGCCCGGATGTGACATGATGTAGGGCAGTGGTCGACAAACTCATTAGTCAACAGAGCCAAATGTCAACAGTACAACGATTGAAATTTCTTTTGAGAGCCAAATTTTTTAAACCTAAACTATATAGGTATGTACATTGTTATTAACTTAATTAGGGTACTCCTAAGCTGGCCTTTGCTAAAATCGTCCTCAATCTGATTGAGGTACGTTCGCTGAGGTCAACCCCTTCCAACTCTCCCATCCACACTCGTCTTGTATACTTGTTTCGTCTATCTCCTTTCCGAAAACTGGCTTCTGCGCATGGGCCACGAAGTTTCAATCGCACTGTATGTGTGCGCCTGCACGTGGTATTTTGTGGAAGAGCCACACTCAAGGGGCCAAAGAGCCGTATGTGGCTCGTGAGCCGCGATTTGCAGACCACTGGTGTAGGGGGAGGAGTGGGGACTTTGGATATTAAGCTAGATTTGAATTCTGGCTCAGCTTTGGTTAAAGTCTTTTCCTCATCAGTAAAGTGCAGATAATAAAGACACTTGAATTGCAGGAGTGTGGGCAGGAGAGATAATACATGGCACATGTCTAGTTTATTGGTGACCCATAGTTACTAAAAAATGATAGCGATGATGATGATGATGATGATGTTAGTTATATTGACTATGATGCAAGCCAAACTCACCTTTACCTGTAGCAGAGGCTGGACTGTGACCCCTCAGCCATCCTGCACTTGAGGCTTTGAAGGCATTTTCCTGTATCACCCCCCACTGACTTCCCCATACTTCAGGGAAGAGGATGAGGTGACCTTGCTATTCACACTTCACAGATGCAGAGCTCTGGCTCCGAGGGCAACTCACTCTGCAGGCCACCCCCGGAGCCTGGTGCCCTGGTCCGTTCAGTGTTCTTCTCACTGCCTGAAACTTCCATCCACTGACCCCAAGACTAACCCACAGAGCTACCTCCTTACTCTTCAGAAGTCAGGTGACAGGATGTGGAGAAATTAGAACACTTACGCACTATTGGTGGGACTGTAAAATGGTGCACCCACCATGGAAAAGAGCATGGTAGTTCCTCAAGAAATTAAAAACAGAATTGCCATATGGTCCAGCAAGTCCCAGAAGAATTGAAAGCAGGGCCTCAAAGAGATATTAGCACACCCATGTGTCTTACAGCATTATTCACAACTTTAGGCCCGGTGCACAACATTTGTGCACGGGGGTGGGGGGTGGGGGGTGGGGAGGGGTGTGTGTCCCTCAGCCCAGCCTGCACCCTCTCCAATCTGGGACCCCTCCAGGGACATCCCTCTCACAATCCAGGACTGCTGGCTCCCAACCGCTCACCTGCATGCCTACCTGATTGCCCCTAACCACTTCTGCCTGACAGCCTGATCACCCCCTAACCACTCCCCTGCCAGCCTGATCGATGCCTAAGTGCTCCCCTGCCAGCCCGATTGCCCCCAACTGCCCTCCCCTGCAGGCCTGGTCCCCCACAACTGCCCTCCCCTGCAGGCCTGTTTGCCCCCAACTGTCCTCCCCTGCTGGCCTGGTCACCCCTAACTTCCCTCCCTTGCCAGCCTGGTCGCCCCTAACTGCCCTCCCCTGCAGGCCTGGTTCCTCCCAACTGCCCTCCCCTGCCAGCCATCTTGTGTCCACATGGGGGCAGCCATCTTGTATGTAGGAGTGATGGTCAATTTTCATATTACTCTTTATTAGATAGGATAGCCAAGAAGTGGTATATCCATACAGTGGAATATTATTCAGCCTTAAAAAAGGAGGGAAATTGTAAAAAAAAAAAAAAAGGAAGGAAATTCTAACACATGCACAATATGGGTGAAATAGGCCAGTCACAAAAAGGCAAATCAGCATGTTTCCACTTACTAGGTACCTCGTGAAGTCAAAATGCATAGAGACAAACGTAAAGTGGTGGCTGCCAGGGTTGGAGGAGACAGGATGGGGAGTGGTTGTTCAATGGGGACAGAGTTTCAGTTTCCCAAGATAAGAAGTGTTCTGGAGATGGTCGCACCACCATGTGAATGTACTTAACACTACCCAACTGTACACTGGAAACTAGTCAAGGTGGCATCTTTGTTTTGTGTGTGTGTGTGTGTGTGTTTAATATTTTTAGTGATTTCAGAGAGAAAGGGAGTGGGAGAGAGAGATCGAAACATCAATGATGAGAATCGATGATGAGAATCATTGATCGGCTGCCTGTATGCCCCCCATCGAACCCACAACCCGGGCATGTGCCCTTGACTGGAATCGAACCTGGGACCTTTCAGTAAGCAGATCGATGTGCTATCCACTGAGCCAAACCGGCTAGGGCAAGATGGCATGCTTTTAATGTTATGTGCATTTTACCATAATTAAAATAAAAAGTTTTTAAAGTGCCACAGGGTGTTTCAAATAGTGATTTTTATAAGTGCCACTACAACATGAAAGGAAACAAAATCAGCTAAGCCTGTCACTCTTCTTAATGCTCCATGTAGAACCCTATCATATAATGAGGTCAGAGAACAGGGTTTCCCATTCTCTCTCAGGCTGGGGTACTTCATGACTCGGTCAACTACTTAAACAAGCCTGTTCCCCATTTCCAAAGTGAAAACAATGACACCCAACAAACAGGTTGCCATGGATACTCAATGAGATAATCTTGCTCCTAGTACATTTTCAACCTCCCTTCCCCTTCCTTCTCCCAGTAGGTCAGAAAAACAATGACTACTGTTGTTTCCATGATGCCAGGACGAAGCAGATAAAAACACTCCCATTGTAGAGATGAGAAAACCAAGGAGACCCTGAGGCCCTGGAGGTCAGGAAGGACGCAGGGCCAGTCTCCTGACATCGAGGCCCTGATGAAATGTGTCCACTGTGACCGACGGCTGGTCAGGGCTCCAATAGGACTGCTTTGGACGCAGTGAGGGGAACAAAGAGCTATTGAAAACATCTGGGCTGAGGTTTTCCAACTGGTTTCTCAATTTGGCCTGGTTTCCAAGCCATCAAGCTCCACTGAAACATATGCTGGCAGGGGAGTGGTTAGGGGGTGATCAGGCTGTCAGGGGAACATATGTTGCTGTTTCAACAACAAACCAATGTTTGTCTTGCTAAGTAGCAGCAAGGACAAGACCCTCCACAGTGGACGCGGCCTCTTCCCGGGAACGTTCTGAAGCAAAGCTGCTGAAGGGACAGAGGCGGTGGAGAGCAGCAGCGCCCTTATCCCGTCTGCAGTGAGAGGAACCGCCCTTGCGGAGGGACGGGGAGCCAGATAGCACACGGCTAGAGGCAGCGTGAAAAGCTAAAAAATTTACACCAGGGTCTGCTTAACTTCTCATAGGAATGTTTGCAATTAGCCCCTGGAGTGTTCGTGGGAACTAAACCTCAAAGAACTGCTTTCTTTCTTTCTTTTTTAATGTTTTATTGATTTCAGAAAGAGGAAGGGAGAGGGAGAGATAGAAACATCAATGATGAGAGAGAACCATTGACCGGCTGCCTCCTGCACGCCCCACACAGGGGATCGAGCCCACCACCTGGGCATGTGCCCTGACCGGGAATCGAACCGTGACCTCCTGATTCATGGGTCGCCGTTCAACCACTGAGCCACACTGGCCAGGCAGAACTGCTTTCTTAAGAAGCTTCAATTCACCCCCAATTATTCTACTCTTTGCACATTCTCACCAGTTATTTTTTTCTTAGATGGTGGAAATACAAACTTCTCTGTAGCCCAAGACAGCATCACCATGCATGCATTCTCATGTGGCCTGAATTCATTACAATTTCTTTCCTGTTTACTTAGTGCCCATCAACTAGACTGTCCTGATTCCAAAGTGGCCAGCTCTGGCTCTGCCCACTGGAGGCAGATCTAGGCTCAAAATACCGACTTCTGCGCATGGGCCAAGAAGTTTCAATCCCACTGTACATGCGCGCCCGCACGTGGTATTTTGTGGAAGAGCCACACTCAAGGGGCCAAAGAGCCGCATGTGGCTCGCGAGCCACAGTTTGCCGACCACTGGCCTAGGGGAACACACCCACAGCCTCGTCGCAATCTCTGGTCACTACACCATGAACTGTTTGCCATCTGTTCTTAATAATCTCCCAAATTGACATGAATCAATATTGACTAAGTTCCCACTATGAACCCAGTGCTAAAAATCCTAACTGATTAAATCAGTGTTTCTCAACCTTGGCTGCACATTAGAATCACCTGGGAATCTTTTTAAAATCCTGATTTCTGGGCCTCATCCTCCGGAAATTCTGTTTCTTTGTTACTAATGTTGTGGCCCCACCCCGTAACAAAGAAATAGAATTTCCGGAGGATGAGGCCCAGAAATCAGGATTTTAAAAAAGATTCCCAGGTGATTCTAATGTGCAGCCAAGGTTGAGAAACACTGGATTAAATCAAATATTTATATTTAAAAGGTCTCCCATCATATAAATCAATTTACCACTTTATATGGATAGCATGTTAAATTATTATAGCATCTGTTTCTCCCTTCCTCTCTTTGATACTTCTTTCCTATGTCTTGATGGTTTCAATATCCACACAGATTACCTTTCCAGTGCTTTTGGACTCATTGTCACTCAACCTCCTCTCTCCAGTGACTTTGCTCCACCCTACGTCAGCTACTATCCCATAGCCATAGACCTCGTCATTACCAATAACCATACCCCCCATCTCCATTTGTATCCTTGTGCCCTGTGCCCATGTCCCTACCCCATCTCTCTAGCAGACTTCTTCTAGTATTGCAATCTCTGCAGAGACCCACAATCCATTGATCCCAGCTTGCGACTATCCGTCACTCCTCCATGCAGCACCTTCCATGGACCACGATTTGAATTCCTCTACTCCTTTGAACTTTTCTCCCGTCATCAAACCTGAATGACAAAATCTGAGCCAGATCACCACCTCTCCAGCCACCCCTTGCCCACTCCTGGGCAGATGAAAGTGGAGGGGGGACCATACCCATTTTGTCTGATGACAGATAAATTTTAAGTTTGGGTAGAAATAAAATAAAGTTATTGCTGTAAAAAACAAACAAACCCCACAGTTATTAGAAAGTGCTTGTTATAAATATTTAGGCTTAGCTTGGCTGGTGTGGCTCAGTAGTTGAGCGTTGACTCATGTACCAAGAGGTCACGAGTTCAATTCCCAGTCAGGGCACATGCCCAGGTTGCAGGCTTAATCCCCAGTAGGGGGCGTGCAGCAGGCAGCGGATGGATGTTGTTATTCTTATCAATGTTTCTATCTCTCCCTCTCCCTTCCTCTATTTCTAAAATCAATTTAAAAAAACCATCGAAAATAATAAAATAAATAAAATATTTAGGCTTAGGCAGCCTGGAATAGAAAACAAAGTTGATGTTACCCCCAGATAACTCAACTAGCAAAATAAACAGAGATGTGTGACTATGGAGAAGTGTCTGGAGTTTTGTAAAGAAGACAGGAAATGGATTTAAGAGCCCAGCACTTGCTAACTCGTTCCTCCTAGAAACCTAGAGTCAGCGTCAGAGAACATGTCACTCTAAGTGTGGTTACTCCAATGGGATATGTTCAATTGCACAGAAGTGAGACATGCATGACATGGCGTTTCCTTTCTCCGATAACTTCTAGAATAACAGAAAGCCAGGGTTTCAAGGGACCATAACAATGACCTAATTCAATGAACCCCAAACCTGGCTATGTACACAGTCACTTGGGAGGTTTCCAAAAGCCACAGGGTCCTAGACTCCAGCCCAGACCCTAGCCCAGAATACCATGGGTGAGGCCCCCCAGGGATGCTTATGCCGTCAGCTGGCATTAATCCACTGGTCCCAGATGAGACTCTGGGCACCTCTGCTTTCGTCCAGGCAGTCAAGTTGCTTTACCAACTCAGGGATGCCAAGTCTCCTCTTCTGGATTATTTTTTTTTAAATAATGCTCTCCATCTGAATTTACTTTCCTACTTAGGCTCATAAACTGTGAAAGTTTCAAACTTTATATATATATTGATTTCAGAGAGGAAGAGAAAAGGAGAGAGAGAATCATTGGTCAGCTGCTTCCTGCATGCTCCCCACTAGGGGTCAAGCCCGCAAGCCAGGCATGTGCCCTTGACTGGAATTGAACCTGGGACCTTTCAGTCTGCAGGCCGATGCTCTGTCCACTGAGCCAAACCAGCCAGGGCTCAAAAGTTCTTGAGAGCCCAGCTTCCAGAGTGGGAAACTGAGGGCAAAGAAGAATAGCATGTTGTGCTTAAGGACAGAGTTAGTTAGGTCAGCAGCAGGACTGTACTCAGGTTCTAGGTTCCAACACCTGCCCTCCCTCAAAGCTCTTCCCCCTTCCCCATTCTATATAATAAAGAGGTAATATGCAAATTAATCCTCACGCCCTCACAATGGCTGCCTATGACCAGGCCAGCAGGGGGATTAGTGAGGGATGACCAAATGACTGAACAGCAGGCTGCATGGGGTGACTAGACTGGCAGGGGGGTTAGTGAGGGATGACCAAACAACTGAACAGCAGGCTGCGTGGGGTGACCAGGCTGGTGGGGAGGCCATGAGGGGCAACCAGGTTGGTGGGGGACAGTTGGGGATGACTAGGCCAGAAGGGGGTGCAGTTGGGAGCGACCATGCCAGCAGGGGGGCAGTTGGGGGCAATGAGTCTGGCAGGGGGGTCAGTGAGGGGTGACTAGGCCGGCGGGAGGGGGCAGTTGGGGACGACCAGGCTGGCAGGGGCAGTAAGGGGTGACCAGGCTACATGCAGAGGCAGTGAGGGGTGATCAGGCTGGCAGGGGGGACAGGGGGCAGTTAGAGGCGACCAGGCAAGCAGGCAGGTGAGCGATTAGGATCCAGTGGTCCAGGATTGTGAGAGGGATGTCTGACTGCCGGTTTAAGAATTGGGCCTAAACTGGCAGTTGGACATCCCCCAAGGGGTCCTGGATTGGAGAGGGTACAAGCTAGGCTGAGGGGGGACACCGCCCTCCCCCGAGTGCATGAATTTCACGCACCGGGCCTCTAGTTAGTGATTAACCCAAAGCAACTATGTTCCTGCTATGGCCAAGCTCAAAACAGCACCTGAATGTTGAACTAGGGACAGGAGCGTGTGGAGTCAGAACGTGGCCTCTGACAGCCTTTGTGAGAAAGAGCAGAAGGAAGTCCTGGGAAGGTTGGTGGGGAGGAAGGCACCAGTTCCGCTGGCCGCCGCAGCCCCAGCCAGGCCACATGCTGGGGGAGAGGAGCACAGACTGACTCAGCCCCTGCCTCAGGCACCCACCAGTTTGGTTCACCGAGGACACCAGACTTTGCGCACTAAAACCGGGGAATCTGGCAAGCAGGCCCGTTGGTCACTGTAGGGTTCCCCAGCACCTCGCCACTCCCACCTTCTTGCACAAACGCAGAAGGCTGCCCAGATGGAATTATCAGGAATTCAGACTTGACAGCGACTGCAGATTCCTTTCCCAGGCTAACCGCATGCAGCCCATCCCGGGGTTTCCAGGGGACGTGCACTAGTTCCAAAGCACAGAGTGTTACCTTCCCCTTTGCCGTAGGAGGAGCTGGGCGTCCAGGACTTGGCCTCCACGTATCCCAGCTCCCGGCAGACGACGTGGGCAGCGTGGATGGAGAAGTCATCATCGCACACGGTGCCCCACTGGCCTTGGTAGTACACCTCCACCCGCCCCTCACTGTGCTTCCTCTTCTGCCCCGCCAGGCGCAGCTGGATCTTGGCGACATCAGAGGGCACCTGAGGCCGGTGGTACTCGGGCGCGGGCTGCTGGAAGTACTCTGGGTAGTGGGGCCAGCTCTCGTACTGCGCCAGGCTCCGCCAGGGGAGGAGGGAGAGCACAGCCAGGCAGCTGCAGAGGCAGGGGCCTCCCAGCCTCACCATGCCTACCCTCTGGCTGGACAGCCTCTCCGAGCGGGGAAGGCAGTGGGTGCTTCCAGCTACAGGCAGGAGCTCCTAGAAGAGAGGAGAGATGTGGGTTACAGAAATCTCCAGAATCTCCAGGGACTTCCTACTCCAGTGATGGCGAAACTATGACACGCGTGTCAGAGGTGATAGGCGAACTCATTTTTTTGGTTGATTTTTCTTTGTTAAATGGCATTTAAATATATAAAATAAATATCAAAAATATAAGTCTTTGTTTTACTATGGTTGCAAATATCAAAAAATTTCTGTATGTGACACGGCACCAGAGTTAAGTTAGGGTTTTTCAAAATGCTGACACGCCGAGCTCAAAAGGTTCGCCATCACTGTCCTACTCCTTTGCTTAGTAGTTAAAGCCCTTCACACCCTAGACTCCAACTTCCTCTCTTCTTTCACCTTTCATTTCAGCCAGAAAGGTCTGTGCACTCCCTCCCCCTCTGCCCACCCACCTTCCCCTATCTCTGAATTGCTTTCCCCCCCCCCCCCACAAGATTCCTGGCAGAAAATGAAGCACACGAAGACTTAATTTGAGGCGAGTGTTTTAAAAGACTATTTACATCAAAATAAAAAGCTTCTGCACAGCAAAAGAAACCATCAACAAAACAACAAGAAAGCCCACTGCATGGGAGACCATATTTGCCAATGTTATCACCAATAAGGATTTAATCTCCAACATTTATAGGGAACTCATACAACTTAACAAAAGGAAGAAAAACAATCCAATCAAAAAAATGGGCAAAGGACCTAAATACACACTTTTCAAAAGAGGACACTCAGAAAGCCAAGAGACATATGAAAACATGCTCAAAGTCACTAATCATCCGAGAGATGCAAATCAAAACAACAATGAGGTACCATCTCACACCTGTCAGACTGGCTATCATCAACAAATCAACAAACGACAAGTGCTGGAGAGGATGTGGAGGAAAAGGAACACTTGTGCACTGCTGGTGGGAATGCAGACTGGTGCAGCCACTATGGAAGACAGTATGGAGTTTCCTCAAAAAGTTAAAAATGGAACTCCCATTTGACCCAGTGACCCCACTTCTAGGAATATATCTCAAGAAACCAGAAACACCAATCGGAACGGATATGTGCACCCATATGTTCATAGCAGCACAATTCACCATAGCGAAGGTCTGGAAACAGCCTAAGTGCCCATCAGTAGATGAATGGATTAGAAAACTGTGGTACATCTACACGATGGAATACTATGCTGCTGTAAAAAGGAAGGAACTCTTACCATTTGCAACAACATGGATGGAACTGGAGAGCATTATGCTAAGTGAAATAAGCCAGTCAATGAAGGAAAAATACCACATGATCTCACTCATTCAGGGATAATAAAGACCATTATAAACTTATGAACAATAATAGATACAGAGGTAGAGCTGCCTCAAACTGATTGTCAAACTGCAGTGGGAAGGCCAGGGAGGGTTGGGGGGCAGGAGGGAGGGGGGTAAGAGATCAACCGAAGGACTTGTATGCATGCATATAAGCATAACCAATGGACATAAGACACTGGGGGGTAGGGGAGGCCAGGGGATTGTCAAGGGCGGGGAAAAAAAGAAAGGACACATATTTAATACCCTTTGTAATACTTTAAGCAATTAAAAAAAAAAGACCATTATAAACTGATGAACAAAAATAGATACAGAGGCAGAGCAGCATCAAACAGACTGTCAAACTATAGCGGGAAGGCTGGGGAGGGTTGGGGGTGGGAGGGAGGGAGGTCAGAGATCAACCGAAGGACTTGAATGCATGCATATAAGCATAACCAATGGACACAAGACACTGGGGGATAGGGGAGGCCGGGGAAGGTCAAGGGGGAAAAAAAGGAGACATATGCAACACCCTTTGTAATACTTTAAGCAATAAAACAAAATTTAAAAAAAAAAGAAGACTATTTACAGAGCTAGGAGCAAAGATAACAGTAATACCCGGGCTGGCCATAGAGGCGCTGTTGGCACCCAGGCTGGAAGCGCAGGGAGGACGTGGTTACCAGAGCTGTCGAGAGTGGCTAAGCTCAGAGGGCCACCTGTTTGGAGCTGTGGCCTTAGTGAGGGGTCTCAGAGCCAACCCACAGCAACAGAGGCAAGGGCAAGAAATACCTGGCCTCACTCTCCTCCTCTCTCCCCTCCGTGCCTCCCATTGGGCAAACCCAAGCCCATTGGTGGAGTCTGCATGGGTTGGCCTCCTGGGCACAGGGGATGGTGGAGGGAGAGAGCAAGTGGGAAGGGCTAGCAGAAGGTCCCCAGCACTCTCTCTCTTCCCACCTCTTACACCTTCTCAAGCTCCAGGGCCCAGCTCAAATCCCTCCTTGGGAACATCCCGCTTCCAAGACAGGCTTATTACCTAGACATTCTTCTCACCCTTCCCAGACGTCCCCAAGAAAGTCACAAACTTCTTAAGGGCAGGACTTCTCTGGCTCCTCCAGAGTGAACAGTATAGGTTCATGGACCTGTTTCTTGAACGTTCCAGAGCCCAAACCGCTGGGGAAATGCTATCCTGACTCTCGGGGGCTCCCATGTAAGGTCCTCCCTCCCTCTGGACCTTTGCTGACCTGGATGGAAGTAGCCTCTTCCGGGGGCTGAGAATAACAGCGGGAGGCCTGGAGTCTGTCCCTACTTGCTCCTGGGCTGCTGCTCCCTCTGCGCACACATCTGACCCCCTGGGGTCACCAGCCTTCAGACACCAGCACACGCCCACCGTGCCTCTGGCCGCAGCATGTCTTATACTCTGGACCACGAGACGGCCGAGGCCGCGGAGTGAGAAGGTCAGTGGCAAAGCCCCTTGAACAGCTGGACACAGCGCTCGTCCTTGGCTGAACTGTGGCTTCTGCAAGCAGCAGCCTCAGAGTGCAGCCTTCCCGCACATCTCACCCTCGGGGAGGCCAAGGGTGCCCTGGTGACAGTTCACAGATCCTGTCCCCGAGGGGTGCAGGGGCTGAGAGCAGCCTGCTCTTTGCACAGAGGAGAGGCATAGAGTTCTTCAGGGCAAACGGAAAAGAGGCTGAGTGGACTGTCATCGGGGAAAGGAGGGCTGGACAGCAGAGTGGGAAAGAGCGGATTCTGGAGCCAGACAATCAGAGTTTGAATCCGCATTCTGACCCTTACTAGCTCTATGACCTTGGGCAAAATGCTTCACTTCTCTGTGCTTCAGTTTCCTGTATGTGGAGTGGATGATAATTATATCTAGCTCATAGCATTATTTTGAAGATCGAATGAATGACATCTAACAAACACTACAGGAGCAGCTGATAAATAAAAATGTAAAATTCTCAAGATCATGGTCACCAGGCCCAGACTGAGCCTGCCTCCCCGAGTTCCAGGGTAAGGTCATAAAACAAGATCATGTGCCTTGGCCCTTTCATAATTCAGAGAGAGGGAACAACTGTCTTAAAGGGACTGCAGGTGTGTCTCATGGAAAAGGAAATACGCTTGGCATATGGCCACCCTCCCCCCCCCCCCCCCCAACACAAAACCAGGACCAGGAGGTGGAAACTAAAGGGTGACATAGCACATTTCATTTTAACCAGGTCCAGAGGGCAGGCTAATTGTACTCCTCATGGCTCACCACCATCAGTGAAGGACCAGATAACTGCCCAGAGCTGCCCAGGAGGGATGACGTCACTTGGCGAGGGGCAGTTTCACAGCTGCAGCCCCAAGAGGCAAAGCCATCACTGTGTCATTTACACACAGCACCTCATGATTCTGGCTTCAGCAGACCAGCTTGTATCAGATAGACTGGACAAGAACAACGGGAATGGGCAGATAAAGTTCTGAAGGCATATATCTGAAGACACTGGAACACTAGAGGCAGCAAGAGTCAAGACTCCCGAGAGACAGGAAGTGCACTGAGGCGAGCCTAGCACCTCTGTCTGCTTTTCCCCTCCAGGCATTCGCCAGTTCCCAAGCCAGTGGCCAGGAGGCTGAGGAGCCGGCTTGGGGCAGCCTCCCAGAACAAAACCAGGAGTTCAGAGCCTTCTAACAGGAGGTGGGGCTGTTAATTAGGCCCGGGCTGGAGTGGAAGGGCCAAGTTAGAGCAGAGCAGTGTCTATTGTTAGAAAGCTCCTGCATCCACATACTTGGAATTCCCCAGGAGAGGAGAGAGAGAACGTAGGAAAGAACTGTTTGAAGAGATAACAGCCAAGAATTATTTAAAATTGATGACAGATTATCAGCCCAAGCAGTATAGTTTACATAGAAACCATGTCTGAGCCCGTCAAAACCCAGCTGCAGAAAATCCAAGGCAGAAAACCGTAAAAGCAGCCAGCGTATAAAAGGAGCATTACCTTCAAAGGAGCAACAGAAGACCAACAGCTGAACTCTTAACAGAAAACAAGGAGACCAGGGAGGCAATGGCATGGCATTTTCAAAAGGATGAAAACAATAGCAGTTCAACCTAGAATCCTGGAACTGCTGGAGAGAATGAAGGTAAAACAATGACATTGCAGACAAACAAAAATGGAGAGAATTTGTTCGCTGAGGATCCATAAAATGTGAATAGTAAAAAAAAGTTCTTGCCGGGACCGGTTTGGCTCAGTGGATGGAGCGTCGGCCTGCGGACTGAGGGGTCCCGGGTTCGATTCCGGTCAGGGGCATGTGCCTGGGTTGCGGGCACATCCCCAGTGGGAGATGTGCAGGAGGCAGCTGATCGATGTTTCTCTCTCATCGATGTTTCTAACTCTCTATCTCTCTCCCTTCCTCTCTGTAAAAAATCAATAAAATATATTTAAAAAAAAAAAAAAAAAAAAAAAAGTTCTTCAGGCCAAAGGAAAACTGATCCAAAATATTAGTATGGAGGAGCAGGAGGAAAGAGGGTGTAGGAGGGGCAGCTATGTAGGTAAATCTAAATGAGGATCAACCTTGTGAAAACAATAAAATGACTCATGGGTTTAAAATACGGGTGGGCACAAGTAGGTTTACAGTTATAATACAAATAAGTAATACAATAATTAATACATAATAATAATACAAGAATAAACTCTGTTTCTCATACCCACAACTGTAAAGCTCATTTTGCCCACCCCT